TATAAATCCTTTCATTCCCCACCATCCAGTCAGAGCTGAAGAAGCTTCTTGGATGAGAAACAAAACGTCTTCAAAGAAAAACCAGAAAGTCCAGTTGCTTTTTGAAAAAGCACCTTTGGGATAACCATGACTTGGATGACTGAGAATCTCCACAGCCTTTTACTGATGACCTGGTTCTGGAGCTTTGAGAGTCACACCCCCAATGGTCATGTGATTCCATTTGGGGCAGTTGGCAATTGATTCCTCATTTATGGCCATTTACGGCATCCCATGATTGCAATTTTCAGCAGTTTTGGCCGGTTTCCAGTGTTTTCTTCCAGATTCTTGCAAAAAAAAAAAAAGAGCAGCTAACTGAAGAAACTGATTGTTCTTAATGATTATTATGTTCCTTTAATAATAGTTGCATTCACTTAATGACCACTGCAAAAAAGGTATTAAAATTGGGTGCATTCACATGGTAATGGCTTAATGACCAGCACAATTTACATCCATAATTTCAGGCTCAATTATGGTCATAACTCAAGAACTTATGTGTCCCTTGGACACCTATCTATCCATGCCAATTTCTTGTGAATAGCTTGGCAATGATTAAAAACCAATAAATATCAAACATGTTAATCAATGTACAATACAGTCTTGATTGCAGATAAGTATTCCCTTTCTCTCTTTCTGGCCATCATTTTTCTTTGTCTTTTTAAATAAACAAATGATAGATATATATCTGTATGTGTGTTTGTGTGTATTATATATACACTCTGTGTGTAAATACACACACACACACATATATATACATATACATGTATATATGTATACACACACACACACACACACACACATATAAATGTCTTTCTGTCTCTCTCCTTCTCTTTATTTAGAAACCAGTTATCATTGTCCACAACTTGTGCAAAGAGTACAGATATGGGAAGGCTTGTTCTACTTCATGTTTCAAAAGGCAGCAGAAGAGAAAATTGGCTACCAAAAATGTTTCTTTTTGTGTTAAAAAAGGTAACACATCCCTCAAATGTATTTAACTTAATAATTAGCAGCCATTTGATGAGAGAAGGCCATGCCTCTTTGCTTTGAACCCTACTTCTTAGGGAAAAAAAACCTGATATTCCTTAAAGCAGCATATATAACACATTTTAGCTATATTTTAATAGCAATAGTTTCTTTGCAGGAGAAATATTAGGTCTTCTGGGACCAAATGGTGCTGGTAAAAGTACAACAATTAGCATGATAATGGGAGATGTGGATCCAACTGCTGAGCAGGTACATGTAACTTTTACTTTAGAAGGAAAAGCATATTATATTTATGTTATTTATTATTGTATGGTAACACTGAGGATCCAGTTTAGGAAGGCAATGGCAATATAATTGCTTTAAATAATATTACTGTAATTTATCAGAGAATAGACAAAGAAAAGACAGACCCATTGAAAAAAATCTATTTATTAATTTATCACAGGAGTAATAATTGGAGGGAAAACTTTCTGCGGAGCTTCCTATGTTGCCTTCATTGCAACTTAGTTATCCACAGTCCTTATGATCTGCCATATTGCCTGCTTCTGCATTATTCATAGATTGTGCTAGGTCTCCTCTTCCTTCCTGGATAACGTTAAGATCTTAAATAAACTTAACTGATTTAATATAAATGAAAGTCCTTGTTGATCAGAAATGCTCCTTTTCACCTTTTTGATATTTCAAAGTATATTCTTACATTGGACAAAAGCAAATGAGATCCTTATGCTACCTATTTGGAACAGGTGCAGATCAAAGGAGCTACGACAGAGGAAAATGCTGCTCTTGGCTACTGTCCTCAGGAGAATCCGCTCTGGTCCAACCTGACCATGAAAGAACATTTGGAGATTTTTGCAGCCATAAAAGGGATCAGGAAGGATGATGCTACGATGGCCATTAATCGGTACTGAGAGCCCAAGATATTGTTTTTATTATAAAATGTATTTCTCAAGATTTTTCTTTCTTAAGAGTTGAATTTCTCAGGCTGCATGTCTGAAATTAACAATACTCTGGAAAGTATGAAATTGCTTTCTGAGTAATTAGCAAACAACAGGTATTTTTACGTATCTGAATTACATACATACATACATACATACATACATATCCATTCCTGTTATTTTATTGCAGTGTGCTGTGTTTTGCAATTGTCATACAAAGAGCCTCATGTAGAGATTAAAACAGCAAAATTTCTGCTTTTTTCAGAATAGCTCGAGTTCTATTCCTCGAAGAGCATTTAAAAAAGACAACTAAGACATTATCTGCTGGATTAAGTCGAAAAGTAAGCTCTGTGATTCTCTATATTTTAGCTACAGGTCTTGTGATACCATATCCAGCTGTGCATTGACATTCCTCCTTTTAAACTTCTCCCTCAATGCAGTTTTTGTCCAGCTTGTCTGCTCTCTGAAAGTATTTCCTTAAAATAAAAAAATGAAGTTGAGAAAAAAAGAGACGGGGCTGAAGATAAGGGAGGAGGCCCTTTGGCACGAGGAGCTATGCTAGGACACCATGGATATCTGCATTTTATGCTGGCAACACCATGCATAACTAGAATTAGTATGATGTGCTCCTTGCTTAAAAAATATGTCGCTCTTTCGCCTGACTAAAGGAAAGGAGACCATGCTAAAGAATGACACACTAGCGTGTTCCCGAGTACTCAAGCCCAAAAACCTCTAAACTGACTTATTTCTTTACATAGCATTGTGATTCATTGCATTCCTCCACCGTTTTCTGAAATTCTGTTATATTGCTGTAGGAATCATGTAGCATATTAAGATTCTTAAATAAGACACCTTAAAAATCTGAGCACATAGACAACCATATAGAACAAAACTGTACATGGTTAAGAATAATTGGATAGTGGTTTTTAATGTCCTGATTTACATTATGCAGTTCAGTTTGTAAAGGCTGCATTTTCATGTTTTGTTGGTGGGCTGCAATAGCTGGAAGCTCTATGGAATTATAAATTAAGCCTGCACTAATTTGCCCCAAGAGACTTGCTGTAATTGAATAACTTTCCTGATAATTGAGGGTTTAATATAATTTCCCGCATTTCAGTTGTGCTTTGCTCTGAGCATGTGGAGTAATCCTACCGTGTGGCTACTAGATGAACCAACCACTGGCCTGGATCCCAAAGGAAAACACCAAGTGTGGTAAGTGACCTGTGCATTGAACTTTTAGGAGTAGTTTTGCACACTTACAGTTGTACTAAAAATGCATTGCCAAACTCTTATATTTTATATCTCAACAATCAAGTATGTATTGTTTGAATTAATGAAAAGTTTTTGACAAAATTCCATGGGGATGTGATTTCCACTCATACCTCTTGTAGCTTCTTAGTGTGCTGTTAGAAAATGTTATTTTTGTATCTGTGTTTGTGATGAATCTCAGGCTTTCTAGAGACACCCAGCTGTCTTGTATTTATTCATGATTCCAGGGATTAAAAGAGAATGTTGCAAGGCTTTCAGTGTCCTCCTTTTCCAATGGGAATGCATTAGGCTATTTCTCATTGAAACTGCCAAGTCATATAAAATAATATAAAATATAAAATAATAAAATAAAATATAACCAGCCAATCTTGAGATTTATGAAATGCCCATTGATATCATGCCAGTGAAATGGAAGGAGATAAGACAATTAGCTATTTGTCTACCTTCACCATTCCATTTGAAGAAAATGTCTCTTTCAGAGGTCCTTAAATCTAGAGAGTCTCCAGGAATAGCAAACACCTGATACTAATTTTAGTTTATTTATTTACCAACTTTCTACACTGA